ATCCTCGCCAACATTTGTTGTTGCTAGTTGTTTGAAGATGTGCCATTCTCACTGGGGTGAGGTGGTATCTCATTGTGGTTTTAATTTACATCTCCCTTATTACGAGTGATGTTGAACATTTTTTCATCTGGCTATTTTTTAAGGTCAGTCTAAGTATATACCTCTTATAAATGATGCCCATTTCCTTTACTTTTTTATTGAAGTAACATTGCATTATAACTTAAGTTTCAGATATGCATCATTTAAAAACCAAAATGCATGTAAACTACTTTAAGATGATCAGTTAAAAATCCAATCCTATCCTTCTCTTTTATCCTTCACATTACCTCTTCAGATGACCTCTTTTACACAATTTACCCATCCACCTTCCACCTTCCTTCTGATGAGCACTGATTTGTCTTATGGCCTAAAAGTTTATTCTTATTTCATATAGTTCTGGATCCATTGTTTGGTTGTTTTGTATCCACCTTCCACCTTCCTTCTGATGAGCACTGATTTGTCTTATGGCCTAAAAGTTTATTCTTACTTCATATAGTTCTGGATCCATTGTTTGGTTGTTTTGTATCCTACATATGCTTGAAATTGTACCAAGTTTTATCTTTCTCCATCCAACTATTTTGTTAAGCATAATATCCTCTAGTTGCCTTCACGTTAATACAAATGGCAATCTTTCACCTTGTTTCTATTTAACTAGAACTCTATCTTGTATATATACTGCAACTTCTTTGTCCATTCATCTGTTGATGGTACTTACATTGTCTCCCACTCTTGACTTTTGTAAATAATGCTACAATAAACACATGGGGTATATCTCTCTTAAAATCAGTGCTTTTGTATTGGGGGAAAATTACCCAGAAATGGGATAATTGAGGACTCTCCTGTATGGCTTTCCTTAACGGCTGCACCAACATGTACACAGTGAAAACACAGGAACCAAATTATACTGACTATTTCAGTAAGGAATTAGAGACTTTAAAGGTTACTGGAAGGAAGAGCAAAATCTAGACTGGAATTCCAGGTACAGCTACTGAAATAGGGAAGTGTTTTTGACTGAGGTATAATTTACATATGAAATGATTCACTTTTTAATATAGTTTTGATAAATCCATGTAACTATATATCATTATTTTCACAAAGTTCCATCATCTCCCAAATTTTGGCCATGCCTTTTCCTAGTCCATGGCAACCAGGGATCTGTTTCTATGTACTTTGCCTTTTCGAGGTAGTCTTTTGTGTCTGCCTTACTTAACTTAATGCTTATAGAATTCAGTCTTGTGTTTATTCGCAATTCTTTTATCACTGGTAAGTGGTTTTCCTACTCATCAGCCGATGGACAGTTGAATTGTTAACAGTTTTTGACTATTGACTGAGCCTTCATGTAGTTTTTTGTGGGGACATGTGTCTTCTCTAGAGTAAATATCTAGGAAGGGCATTGTTGAGTTATATGGGAAGAACTGTCAGGCTGCTTCAGGGAAACTACCATTTTCATCCCCATCAGCAGTGTTAGAGAGTGTTATTTGTTCCACATCTTCAGCACTTGGTACCATTAGTCTTGTGGATCAAGTCTTAGCATAGTTCCCCTGATACACAAATGGTTCTCTCTTCCAGACTTTTGCATGATCAGCCCCATGCTGGATCCTCTATGGTAGAGCTACTTCTTGGACATGTCCGGGGTGAAAAATAACTTAATGTTGAGCTGAACAAGCTGATATATATTTAAAAATGAAATCATTGGCATGGTTTTGACTTGGCTCTCACTGAGTTTTTTTGGTTTTGAAGATTTATTTATTTATGCATACAAGAACTGGGATGTAGGCCAGAGGTGCAGGGAGTGAGAGGATTCACCAGAGTGGAGAGCAGAACAAGTAGATGTACTGAAATACAGTGCTGGAGGGCACAGCAGGGAGCTCTGCTGTGCCATGTGGGTTAGCTTCCTGGCTGAGGATCGAATTCATGCTGCAGTGGCTGGGACAGAATGATAGCATGGAGATTTTAGCCCCTGTGCTACCAGGGAGGTCTAGGTGCTCACTGGGGTTTAAATAACATAAATTGTTTTTTGTTGTTGTTGTTTGTTTGTTTTTTAATTTTTCTCTCAGGCTTTTTGATCATTCCATGGAAGGATTTAAAAACTGGGAGTTCATGACTATTCACTGCTGGGGAGAACGAGCTGCTGGTGACTGGATCCTTGAAGTTTATGATACCCCATCTCAGCTGAGGAACTTCAAGACTCCAGGTAAGAGTCCCTTTCTGTAACTAGCCACATAGAAAACAATGGTGGTATATATTTTAATCAAGGAGTGTTTCACATTTATATCATTATTATCACTTTTCATGTGATTCTATTTTGAGTTACCTGTCATGTGTTCTAGACCTCAAGATTGCCATTTGAAAGTAAATTATTTAAGGATAAGAAACAAATAATAGTTAGGTATAAGTAAAAGATAAAATGTGACAACTATTGATTGTTTCAGACTATACAAGCCACATCTCTGACCAGCTTTCCTTGATTTCTGTGTCCAGTTTTGTCCACTTGTGATGCACTGAATTCCATGGTCACAAGAGGAGACAGATTTTCTTAGTTACCTTTTATTTGAGTTTACTCTAAATTTAATTTTCAGTGCAGGCAAGAGAGTGAGTTTGGCCTATCCTTGGTTACCACCCAGGAAAGTCAATAGTGATATTCTGTCCCTCATGAGGCCAAGAGTTAAGGAAAATGAAAACTTTCTTGACATGTGAAACCTAGAAATTATGTTAAAGGCCCTTTTAAGGAGTCTCGGATTCTGCTGCCACACATGGCTTATCTCCCTCCTCCTGCTAACATGTACAACTTGTCTGTACATTGAAATCAGGGGAAGTACAAATGCAGTGTGGGGTAACAGCTTTTTGCAGCAGCCTGTGCTGCCCATGATGGAGCTCCCAGAGTGGGTGGAACGATCGATCTGTTTGATGACTACCCTGGTGTCCTGCCATGCTCTGAACCTGTCTTTGAACTCTGGATAAATTCATGTTTCTCAATGCTCTGTCAATCCATCTACAAATGAACCAGGCCTGAGGCCTTTTGTGGAACTGATATCCAACTCTAGCCCTTTCTGATTGAAGAATAAATTCTTAGGATGTGCACTATTCCGGTTGCATGGGCCATGCAGGGCGAAGGAGGCACACAGCACAGTGCAGGGGTCACGTGGTCATGGACGAGCCCCATGCCAGCCAGGAAGTTTGTCCTTTTGAGAGATTCATTTGGCCACACAGTGTGGGCATCTTTTTCTCTCAAGGTCTGCAGTGTACTTAGCTGTGTTGCCAAAGTGGTCACACGATAGCAAAGTCATAATGCTTCAGATTAATTGTTTTGCAAAAGAGAATCTGAGAGTCTCTGGTTCCAGGTTACCTCCACATTCACCTACAATGATTCTGGTTGCCAAGGTTTTATCCAGAAATCAAATACTTGTCAAAAGGCAGGGTTCGTAGAAGACACTCAGATAAGCTTGACTTGTCCATAATCTACTTCATTCCCAGGACCTTAGTCCTCCTCCCCTCCTCTGCTCAGCTCATGCTCATTACTCCTGCCCTGGTGACACCTGCGTCATGGTACTGAGCAATGGTAGCTGTTCCATGGCTATGCAGCCCTGACCAAAGCCAGCTCCTTGCTGACCCATCAGCAGGAGTCACTAGCGGGTTCTTCTGTGTCAGGTGATGCCAGGGAAATAAGCACTGTCAAAATACAATAGTTGCGTACCAAGAGAGAGACTGCCTGGGATGCAGGTGTGCAGAGAGGGTACATTGCTGAGAAATAACAGCAGATACAAAACTGATTAAAAGTGACTCTGCTCTTTATTATCACCCTGCACCACCATGTAAAGAGTGTCAAAGTACCCGTCTCCACAGAGCACAGTGACCCTAGGGGCACTGAAGTAGTTGATCTAGCATTTGCCTGCAGTTGCATAGGCTATGAATTTAAAACTCTTCATCCTCAAATTGTTCGGAGTCTGTGCAGAGTTGACTATGGATACTTGTGTTAAAAGTTCTTAGCTAATGTACAGTTGCCTATTTGATAGCCTTTGTTTCTCTTAATTCTAGTCAAACATTCACATTTAACTGCAGTCATCTTTACTCTTTTTAGACATGTACTGTGCCAGAGCAGAGATATCCCAATGCTGCTACTGTCAAGAGACTTTAATAGGGGGTCCTTCCTCAGGTCTACCCTTGAGTTTAGGTTTAATCACAACAGGCCAGAGGGACTTTCACTTTCTTTCTGAAAGTGGGTGGGTGGGTGGGTGTGTAGCATTGCTTCTATAGTTTCTATGGTATGCAAATTTATGGAAGGTTTCTCTAATTAGTAAGAGATTTCTTTGCTAAGCTACCAGATACTCAGTATTCAGTTGGAGATGGAGAATTATCTAGTACAATTAATTATCTAGTACAATTAAATGGTAGAATCATTCAGAGATAACAGAGATTACTGGCTCCAAAATGAGTTTAGGTTTCTTTATTGTTTCTTCCCATTAGTTTATTATTAAAATCTAGGTTGAGGATTTTTGCAGGGTTTATTATTGGTTTTGTTTTGTTTTTGTCCACTCAAACTACCTTGTTTTTTTTTTTTTTTAAAGATTTATTTATTTGTGCATACAGAACTGGGGTACAGGCCAGAGGCTCAGGGGTGATGAGAGGCTTCACCAGAGACAGAGTGGGGAACAGAACAGGCAGATCGACGAAGTACACTGCTGAGGGGAGCAGCAGGCAGGTCAGGAGAGGTCTGCCATGCCATATGGTCACCTCCGGGGCAGGCGGGAATCGAACTCATGCGGAAGCAGCTTTAGCTTCTCAGTGCTGTGCTTTAACCCGCTGCGCCACCAGGGAGGGCCGAACTACCTTGGTTTTATTGCATTTTACATTTGAGATTATAATAGATTTTACTCATTCTGTATTTACACAGCTATTTAAGGGAATACTGTAGTATCAAATGAAAAATCTATAGTTTAACAAGTGAACAAAGTGATAGTTGGAGAGGGAAATATGGCCTGATATTGGCAGAATTGTTATGGGCTGAATTGTGGCAGAGGTTCTAAGAAAATAGAATTAGGTAATAGTTAACAAATAAATGCCCCAAAAGGCTATTCCAAGTGGGCCTATGATGGACTTCATAAATGGTATGAAGAGAAATGATATGAAGGGAAATGATCAATTATGAGGTAACACTCTTCAAAGCACTTAAAATAAGAATAAACTTTTGTTTAGATATTTATTTATGCATATAGAACTGGGGTACAGGTCAGTGATATAGCAGCAGTGAGAGGATTCACCAGAGACAGTGGGGAGCAGAACAGGCAGATTAATGAAGTGCACTGCTGAGGGGAGCAGTGGGTGAGACAGGAGAGGTCTGCTGTGCAGCAAGGGTCAGCTCCCTGGCTGGGGATCAAACTCATGCTGAAGCAGCTGTGGCTAGCCTCATATCGTAGTGCTATGATTGAACATCACCAGGAAAGGCCCAGATATATATTTTAGATCTAAAATGATCTTAAGTTAAATGAACCAGGGTTTACAACTGGATTTCCCAGTATGTCCTTGCATCATACAGACCCACTGTGCTCTTGAGAGTTGCCATATGCTATGTTCATACCCAGCTTTTTAAAAAATGTATTGATTTGTCAGTCTTTTGCATATTTATATAACTCTGGGTGTATGTTTTCACACCTCCATATGTACACATGCTTAATTCATCCACCAACATCCTTGCCAAGGTCCTTTCCCCTTCATCCTTCCTTCCTTCTATTCCCTCTGGTAACTGGTATATTTTTCACAGAACCTAAGGATTATTTTTGCTGTTCTTTGCCAGTATATATTCTTTGGTTATTCATATTCCCCAAATAAGTGAAACCATATGGCATGTGTCTTTAACTTTCTGACTTATTTTACTAAGCATAATCTCAGAGCCATCCACTTTGCCCCAAAAGGTACTATTTTGTCATGTTTTTAATAGCTGAGTGATAGTCCTTGGAATAATGTATTCCATAATTTTTCCAGGTTACTGTTGGGCCCGTAGGTTGGTTCGATGACTGACCATCTGTGGACTGCTATAAACATAGAAGTATGCACATTTCCGTATAGCATGTTCATACTGTTTGAGTAAATACTGTGCTATTCTGCTAGATCATATAGTACTTCCATTTTCATCTTTTAGGGTATCTCCATCCACTGTCTCCCAGTTTCATTCATGGATAACTACATTTTCTCCATATCCTTACCAACATTTGTTGTTTCCATTCATTTTGATATATGCCATTCTCACTGGTGAGGTCATATCTCAATGTGGCTTTGATTTATATTTCCCTTATACCAAGCGGCACTGAACATTTTTTCATGTGCCTGTAGGCCACTTTGGAAAAGTGTCTAGATAGTTTGTCCATGTTTTGATTAATTGTTGTTTAGTTGTATGAGAATTTTATGTATGCTGCAAATAAACCCCTTGTCAGATGTACAATTGGCAAATATTTTCTCCCCATTTGTAGGTTGCCTTGTTTTTGTGACATTTTCTCTTGAGAAACAAGAGCTTTTAGTTTGATATAGTCCTACTTGTTTATGATTGTTTTTGCGTATCTTTAAACCCCCAAAAACAACTCCATGGCTGATGTCCCATAAAGTATTCCCTGTGATTTCTTTTAGTATTTTTTAGTTTCAGGTCTTATTACCAGGTTGTTAATATATTTGGGTTAATTTTAGTATATGGAGTTAAGGATCTAGTTTCACTTTTTTGCACATGGCTGTCCATCTTTCCCAACACCATTATTCTTCCATTCTCTATTGTATGGTCATGGCTCTTCATCAAAACTTATGTGCACTTTCTGTTCTGTTCCACCAGTCTGTGTTTCTATTTTGTTTTATTACCATATGGTTTTGATTACTGTTGGCTGTGTAGTATAAGTCAGAGAGAGTGATACCTGCATTTTTCTTCTTTTCTCTTAGGATTGATTTGGCTGTTCACTTTTGTATGGTTCTGAAGAAACTTCTTAATTTTCTGTTCTGTGTCCTTGGGAAAAAATCATTGGGATTTTGATGGCAGTAATCCTATAAACTGAAACTATAAATCACTTTAGATAATATAGCCATTTTATTTTAACAATGTTTATGCTTCCAATCTGTGAACATGGGGTACCATTCATTTTTTTGTGTCATCTTTAATTTCCTTTAACAGCACCTTACAGTTTTCAATGTGCAGGTCCCTCACCTCCTCTAAGATTACTCCCAGGTATCTCATTCTTTTTGGTGCAGTTGTAAATGACATTTAAAAAAAAAAATCTACTTTATTGTTTGCATATAGGAATGCAACTGGTTTTTGTGTGTTGAGTTCATATCCATTCACTTTCTATATTCATTTATTCCTGGTAGGTTTTGCAGATTTTTTTTTTTTTTTTGGATTTTCAGTATATATTATGTCATTATGAATACCAATAGTTTCACTTCTTTTACAATTTGTATGCCCTTTGTCTTTTTACCTAATTTTCCAGCTCAGACTGCAATATTGTATTGAACAGTAGTAGACAGAGAAGATGTCCTTGTCTTGTTACTGGTTTTAGGGGACAATGCTTTTAGTTTTCACCATTGAGTATGATGGGTTTGTCATAGATGGCCTTTATTGAAATGAGTTCTGTTTATTTTCATTTCATTGATTTAGTCATAAATGAATGCTATATCTTGTCAAGTGCATTTTTGGCTTCTATTGAAATGATCCATGTGACTTTTTCTTGCTTTTTGTTAACTACTGAATGACATTAAGTTTTGTATACTCAGTGAAACTTGCATCCAGGACTTATTTTAAAATTGGAAGTTTGTGCCTTTTGACGTTCTTCACCCACTTTACCCTCTTCCAACCTCTGCCTCAGGCTGTTGCCAATCTTTCCTCTAAATCTATAAACTTGATTTGTTTCATTATAGACATACCACATTCTATACATACCATATCTATCAATGAGCAATGCTGCAATAAATAGGCAACTCTCCCAGTTTTTAGTAGTATTATATTGGAGATGAACCTTTTTGTTTTACCCTGCTGATACTTCTGGTTGTTTCTTAAAACTCTGACTGTCTAAGCCACCTATTTTTTTTCATATAATAGTTTATTTTTACATCATTTTGTACATTTTTTTTTTCATCTCAATTGTAATCCCATGGGTTTCCCATCACCAAGTCACCCATGTGCCATCACCATAGTCTCGTGCACTTCCCTTCCCCCCCCTCCATTTTTGATCCCCTTCCCCACTCTACCCCCACAAAATGTCTCTGGTATATGACTGTTCATTGTTACCATTTTCTTGCCTGGTCCTTTATACTCCTGCTATAAGAGAAACCATCTGGTATTTTTCTTTTTCTTTCTGGCTTATCTCACTAAGCATGATCTTTTCCAGCTCCATCCAAGTTGCTGCAAAAGACATGTGTGTTTTTTTTTGTTTTTTTTTTTTGGTTGCTGAGTAATATTCCATTGTATATATATACCACATCTTTTTAATTCCAGTCATCTACTTTTGGGCATTTGGCAAGCCACTATTTTATCCTCAGTGTATTGCAGAAGTTGATGATGGGCTAAGATCTCTTAAGGCCCCAAAGGGAAGATCTCAGTAGCATCTAGGTTCAAGCTTATTGAAAGCCAGGCCTTTAGCAACTTTCACAGTATCCAAATATATATAGACCCGTGGGACCACAAGTATAAGCCCCACTGGTCCACAGAGCTGGGCCATGTGGGTAACAAAAATCAGGGTGCTTACACAAGTTTACAAGTTTCTTATTAGAAGCTACCAGCAACCTTGTGTGTGGCAGAAAGTGAAAAGGTTGTCTCTACCAGGTCTGTGTCTACCTATGTTCCCGAGGAGACACTGTCTCTGTGCTCCAACTCCAGCACAAGCAAATATGCCTCCTTTATAGAGAAACTGAGGGCTGCTTCCTTCTATCTGCACTGTGCCCTGTGGTTGGTAGCCTTTCTAAGCCTGTCTCTTCATTTGTCAGCTAGAGCCTTGTGGAATCTAGAAACTCAGTTCTGCTGGCCACCGGATCCAGGCTATCACAGGGTGGCTCTGGGTAGCAGTCACAAAAACCAGGAACTAGACAGCTATCTGAGCTCCCCTTCAAGAGCTACTGGTGTTTTGAAACAAGGCAAAGGGAGTCTAGGAAGTCAGCACTCATCTGTCCTCTGAGGTTTCTGGAGATGGGTAGAGCAGGCTCTTAGTTAAGTGTTTAATTAGAAGCCTGCTCCTGAGGCCGCAGCTGTGAAGATGAGCTAGTAAGCTGCTTTCACAGAAAGACTGGATGCCTCCATTTGTTGCTTCTTCCTGTGCCCTGAGCATGGTAGCCAGTATGGACTCTTTCCACATTTGTCACAGTTCTTTGGGGCCTGCCAACCTGTGTGTAGCAGTCAGAAAAACTGGTGCACCAGATGAGATAAAATGCTGCTTTCTGAGAGATTTTGGTGAGCTGGAGCAAAGTAGATAGAATACAAAATTGGCATCTACTCAGCAACTCCATCTTTGTGGAAGATTTCAGGACACCCCTAGATTTGTGCCAAAGTTTTGGCCTGAGGGCAGAGATCTATTTTAACATGAGACAGCCTCTTGCACAGAAAGAATTAGCTACTTCTGCCATGGGCCTTGGGGTGGGTGTTTGCCCCATTGTGTAAGCACACAACCCTTTAAGAATCATTGTTCAGTTTTTCTTTAGCTTTGTGGATTATGGACATGTCCCTTGGAGGCTAATCTGTCAGGTGCAAATCTAAAAGGGGTGCCCAATTTGGGCTTCACGCCCTATGCTCCTCAGGGAGAACTCGAGCTGTGTGAGGTCTCTCCTACTTATGAATCCCCATGTCCCATGTTGGCTTTATGGGAAGCCTTTCTCGGCCTTTCCTATCCACTTCTATTTTCTCTCATTCACTCAGTGCATAGGAATCACTCAAACAGTTTTGCAGTCTTAGAGGGCATTATTCCATATGTAGCTATAGATTCATCATGTCCATGGTAGGAGGTGAGCTCAGGATCTTCCTTTGTTTCCACCTTGAACCAGAATTGTTTTCAGTATCATTCTGCCCACTGGGAAAGTTAACAACCTCCGTCAACCATCTTCATCATTTGTATAATGGGACTAGAAGTACGTACCTCCTTGTTGCTGTGAACACTGAATGAAATGAAAGGTGACAGTAAGCGCTTACAAATGATAATTTTATGGTGTTTATAGATGCTAATGAATGAATTAGCTGACATGCCGGAATTCACTGCTCTACAGCACAGCAGAGGCCCAGCTCTGTCCATGCCTACCTCCCATGTATTAGCCCTAGAGGAAGCGGTGTGAGGGTTCCTCCCTCCCTACTAGCTTATTCCCACTACTATTATTCCCTTAGTTGTCTTAATTCCTTCTGCTTATGGTTGATTCCTTTTGATATGACTCTTATTAAACTTCATGGCCTGCAGGTAGTTTGTTTCTTACTTTTACATTAAGGACTTTAGTGTTAGAAAGCTAGGAGATAAGTGGATAAGTAGGAATTAAAACAAAAATGTCTCCTGTGAGCATGCCATCCAAGAGGCTCAAGACAGCCTTGCCTGGAAAATGCTCCATTGCAGCACTGTCCAGTTAGGACACATCCACCCTTGCAGAATTTCTATCTCCGTGCTCTCCCCTAGTGGCCCCTGGACACACGCTGCAGGTGCTACCTAGCACTTTGCATGGAAATGTGGTTTATGTGACTGACAAACTAAATCTTTGGCAAATGTGTCTGCTGGCTGTCACAAGATAGCATGAGAAGAGGGTTATTATATTATGCACTGTTAAGATTGACTAACTTGGTAATTTGTGCAATGAAATACTACTTTTCATCTCTATGTATTGATAAATAAGTCCAACATCAACAACAAGTGTTTTTGACTTAAAGTCCTCTGTGGTGTCTTAGGATTCTCGTCACTACTCCTAGTTTGAAATTCATCCTTTGGTCCAATAGTCTGAGGTCTGTTTGAGTCTTCCTGTAAACCCTAAATAGAGGCCTATCCTGCAATGATGCTCAGTAAATGCTGGATTGTGATTATTACGTGGTTCATTCTGCAAATGGCGCAAAGTGCGTTTCTAGCCCTTTCTCTCATACCACAGTTCATCTGACTCTTCTCCCTTTTGCCTGAGAAGGAAGCAAACTATAAAAAGTAAATGTCTGATCATGCTCTGATTTGTTTCCCAAGGTAAACTGAAAGAATGGTCTTTGGTCCTCTATGGCACCTCTGTGCAACCGTACTCACCAACCAACGAGTTTCCTAAAGTAGAACGTTCTCGCTATAGCCGAGTTGAAGACCCCACGGATGACTATGGAACGGAAGAGTACGCAGGTGAGCTGACCTCCATCGGGGCAGTGGCTGACAGCTGGCTCAGGCACTATCTCACCACACACAGAAAAACCTCGACCCTCTCCTCCCAGCTTTTCCCACTCCCCACTACTGATACGTGCACATACATACAAGCCTAGAGACGGTGCCCATGTTCTTCTACAACATTAAAACCACACCGTGTAGGTTACATAGTCTTTATTTTCCATTAGAGAGATCACAAGCATATTTGCCTGTTGTCAAGGACCATCAGAACACACATTTAAATGCAAACAGTCCACAGTATGATCATACTGTGCTCCATTTAGTCCAAAATCTGGGAGGTGTAGAGTTTTAACATTTTCTTAAACAAGATTTGGATTCACATCACTGTCAGTCTTTGTCTATATCTCTACTTCTGTAGAACAAAGCTCTCTTCTACAAATTGCTGCATCAAAGGGAATAATCCAGTATTAAGGCTTGGATAGACTTTGTTTTCTAGACACTATGCACTGACCAGCTGTGTGGGTGTTTATTGTCCTCATTCCTGTCAACATTATAAGGGAAAAAGCACCATTAAATTAGTATAGCTGAGTTTGGAATAAGTTAAACATTTTCTTGTCTAGTGCTTTTTTGAATTAAATGCTATTCTTATGCCCATTTTTATATTTAAAGTGGTGGCAATTTTCTTATCTATAAGAACTGTTTTACTGCCTTATATTTGAAAATATTTTCTCACTTACCACTTCTGAAATGTGGTTTTCATGTGTTCTTTTGACAGAAAAAAGAAAATTGGAGGGTTTAGTTTCAGACAATAGCATTTGTATTTTTCTACAGACATTTCTTTTAAAAACAGCTACATTTTGTAATCTCTTGTTTTTATATTTAGCCATTAATTCATCTGGAACTTATTTTGGTTTAATTATTTTCCAAGTACATGGACATCATTGAGCTATCACCCTCTTACTAATTAAGGATGTTTTTCCTTCTAAGGGGATCTCCTGGTCTTACCTTTTCTGATTCATTGACCAGATAATCAGTAGTTCCTCTATTGTTTAAAATTTTAATTTGCATATTCTCTCATGGGGAAAACATTTTACCATGTTCAGTCATCCCATGCTACTGAAATATTTGAGTCTTGTTGGTCTGGTGGGAGTAGATTACCAGTACACAGAAACGGGATAAGAACTGTTTGGCTGTGCACATTTATAAGTTTTAGGTAATTTTTTGAGGCAATTAGTCCAGTTTTTTTTTCTGCCTGATTTCTCATTTCTCTCTTGTTACATTGGCTGCCATATAGGAGACTGCAGTCCTTCTGGCATATATGATACATAGTATTTCATGAACAAAATTTCCCTAAATGAAGAAGTGTTTATAAAATAGCAGCTCAATGTACCTTGAGATGGGATTTTTTTTTCCCTGAAGCTAAGATTCTTTTGCTAAAGACAAAAGTACTCTATTAATCATCTTCACTGAATATCTTAAATATGCATGTTCCTTTTATTCTAAACAAGTAGTATTCCAGAGTCAATAAGCGTTCATAATTCAGACTCAACTCTGGTTAGTTCATTAAGATTGTGTCTGTCTTTGCTTTGAGTTTGTAACATTATTAATGTTATAAAGAGCAAACTATTTCATCTTCTCTGATAAAAGTATATCCAAAATCATTAATATTAAATCAACATGAAGCATAATAACGTACCCAATTTGTATGTAAATAATGTCCAAATTTAAGTTGTACATCCCCATGGATTGTTTTTTTTTTAATTGCATCTGCAAAATGTCCACATTGACACTTGTGAGAGAAAGACATTTTCATTATCCTGCAACCTAAAATGCTAAAGTGCATTGGGGACAGTTTAAAATTAACAAGGAATCAGAGCAGCAGACAAACTTGCCACACAGAGCCCTTTGGCACATATCAATAATAAATGCTTTTTTGCATTTAACTGTAGAAATCATCTGTTGGAAATTTAGGGCCACTCATGACTCCTTTACTTTGGAGCAGTGATTTTCACCTTCATTAAAAAGTCACTGTGTTCAGAGCCACGATGGCATTATCATAACTAGATCCCTATACAGTTGCATCGAATTACAGGGATATGTAACTGACTACATATCAGCCCTCAGGGCCTAGACTCTCCCCCTATGTGCCTCTCCGAGGCTGTACTAACTGGCATTTAATTTTGAGAGCAATTTTAACTCTTTGGAAAAACAGATAAACAGTGCTAGCAACTGACTGTTGGGGGGAATCAGGAGTATAGTTCAGGTCTGAAGCTTTTCAAAATGACTCATTTCTAGCACATGATCTACTACCTGAGGAGGAGGAATCTGGACTAAGAAGTAGGACCTATGTTGAACCCCTCTCTTAGGCATTGGATACTGGGCAAGCCTTTAAGAATTCTTGGAAGGTCTATTTTCTCATCTGTAAAATAAGGATATCTGATTGTTTTTCCTTCCTGCCCCTTCCCCCATTCTATTTTTGACTAGCTGATTGTAGAACACAGACTGTGACTTTAAGGAGGCCAAGTCTCCACTCCTTTTGATTAAAATAAGGATGGTCCAAACATTTCTGGAACCCTTGAGTTTACTGTTTGTACATTTTGAGTAATCTTGTTGCTATTTTTAAAATCATATTAATTTTGAATAGCAAGATCTTGACCTTTATTTCTGATTTCCCCAGGAGTCCTTTGATAGCACTGTTTCACTGTTTTCCCAAAGACTTAAAATGAGACCACACGTCCCAAAATATAGAGAAGGGAGTTCTATAACCAACCCACTGTTAGAAAGCTTTTCATCAGTCACAAAATAGCTCCATCTTTCTGGAATTTTGTTTTTCTGTTTGTGCATTCTCTCTAGCTCTATACTAAAGAGTATATAGCAAGAGAGCTTAAGAACCATCATCCCTGGTCTGGATTTCTTTAAGCTTGCTTGCTTTTTTTTTTTTAATTTATGTGTAGTTTTCTTTTGTTGAGCTGCCCTATGGGTAGGATGCAATTTTACCACTACTCTCTTTGCCTGAATTACCTGCTTTGTAATCCAAGACGAGATGCTGATAAGCTCGTGCCAGATACCATAATGAGGTTTCTTTCCAGCCACAGCATCACAAGGTATTCAGTGGCTTCAGTGACCTTGAACAAGATGGACGAGCTGGTCCAAGGTCTCAGTAATAACTTCCTCTTTCAACAGTTTAACTTCTCTCTCTCTTTAATTAGTCTGACATTTTTATTTACCATTATGCATATTTAATTAGTCAGGTTTTTATTTTTCAGTTGTACAGTGGCATTTCTCAGTTGAATATTGAAATATTTGTTATATCCCAAAAGGCAATCATATGTGCTTTGAAAACCAAGTCATGGCTAGGACTTACCTTCTTGGTGCCTAGGTAATTTGAGATTTTCCCCCAAAAAAAATCAGGAGTCCATCTTTGGGCTTATAACCACATAGTACATTATTCTTCTGTCTACTCTGACTGCCTAAGAAAAAGTATCTTATTTTCAGCAAAGTTCAGGTAAAGTCGACCTGCTTTAAAATCATTTTACCAAGTGTTGTTGTAATTTACTTTGGAAAGGTCCCTGTGACCCTGAGTGCAGTGAGGTTGGCTGTGACGGGCCAGGACCAGACCACTGCAATGACTGTTTACACTACTACTACAAGCTGAAAAACAACACCAGGTGAGAGAAAAAAAGTCCCACTATGTCCCCACCCCACAAAACAGAGTTCCCAAGAGTACTCGCCAGTCACAACAGGCAGCAGCTTCTGATACTCTCCCACCAGGACCTCTGCACCGCAAAGTAGATGCCACACAAACCCACTGCTTCCTCTTGTAGTTAACAATAATGTAGCCAGTTCTGAATTGCAAGACAAGGCGTATGTGTACTGTGAAACTGAGAACTCTGGAAGGGGGCTGGAGTGGCAAGTTCTACCTCTCCAGACCTTTGCAGGCCATTGATACTTAATACTACAGCTCATTGGTTCTTCATAAAAGTGCTAGTGCAGAGGCCCAGCAGGTGAGCTTTTTCGCACTCCCTGACCCACAAGCCCTCAGTGTAGCAAAAGCGCTGGTCCCTGCCCTGCCTCACTCTAGGCATGGAGGTGAATCTGGCTTGCACCTTGTGTCTCTGAACCCCTGGTTTCTACCTCAGACTGTATAGGTAGGTATCCACAGGTCACGGCAGTGGAATACAACTGTTCCTCATGCCTGTCATGACCATACCACCTTCTCCCTCCTTTAGGCAGTAGAAATAACCACTATATGGAGTTGACTTGCACAGATGTCCCCATTCCTGTTAACGTGCATGCTGGAATTTCAATGGGGAAAAATGTCCTAGGCTACTGAAACACCTTTGTTGTCTCCTAAATTTAGCAAAACACACAAAATCCTGTCCTTAAAATATTGGCAAACAAGGAAATTTTCTTGTAAAATTTACTGTATGCAATGTAAATGCATATATTAGACAGCAGCATATAACTACCACACATCAAGGATCCATATAGCAACTACTACATAAAAATAGAAGTAGCCCTTATGGTAAAACCATCCTTCTTCCTCCACACACAGGATCTGTGTCTCGAGCTGTCCCCCTGGCCACTATCACGCTGACAAGAAGCGATGCAGAAAGTGTGCCCCCAACTGTGAGTCCTGCTTTGGGAGCCACGGTGACCAGTGCCTGTCCTGTAAATACGGGTACTTCCTGAACGAAGAAACCAACAGCTGTGTGACTCACTGCCCCGATGGATCATATCAGGACACCAGTGAGTAGATTTCAAATATTTTGGTTTTAGAAAGGAATAATATAAAAATTAACTAACTTCCAGGGGGTTCTCAAACTGAGTGATTGCGAGGATTACACCCAAGACTAGTTTATAGTGGCATTCTCAGTCATGACTTATTCAAAAGGACACAAAGCATAATCAGCAGGGAGAAAAGGCACATGGAGAGGGCCAAGGAAACCAGGTAGGGGCTCTCTAGGAGTCACCCGGGATGAACTTACCCATTGACAGTTGGTTACAGTATGCACAAAGTGTAGTCCACGAGGTAATCCCCTTAGGGTCTGGTCAGGAAAACACCCTCTGGCACGTAAAAACACTCTAAGATTCCAGATATAACCTTTGTTTATATACACACAGTTCAGATACCATGAACCACTCTGACCAGTCAGGGTGATGAAAAACTACTCTAGAAAGACTCAGTCGAGCCACTCTTGAGGGAACCTACCTAGTGATTAGTGGTGCACCAGGGAGGCAAAACTCAGTAACTTTGTATTTGGCAATACAACAGTAATTTGGAGTTAGTTTTCACATGGACAGAAATTATTTACAGCTTTCTAAGGGGAAGTCTGTAAATTAAATATGTAACTATGTAACTTCACAGAGGCTGGGCACTAATAAGCACCTACCATTAGACACTGCTCTTCTGTAGGACTCTTTGGCTTTGTTGCTGAGTTCTAGGTAAGTTGTCTTAAGGAGGGTGTCACACCACGGTATGTGATGGCTCTAAAACTTCAGGTTTCTACACAATGTAAGAAGAAACTGGAACAAAGGAACAAGAGATTGTGCTGTTTTAATGAGGCCAGAATTTGGGATACTCTTGATTCAAAGATTGGCATTTCGCCATGTGGCAGATGGAATCTCTCAACTAACCCTTTAGAATAACAGATAAGGATTCCATTTCCCCTTAAATCTACAATATGCTCTACAAGTTGATGGAAAAGATGGGAGTGACAGGGGATAAGTAAAATCCACAGAAATAAATATAATTCCTAGAAAGAATTCAATTTTATTAAGAAAGTTGAGCTTTAGAAAAGAAATTTGGTTCTTGAATGTTGCATGACAGGATCAATATAGTGGCAATAATCAGTAGTTCTTCCAGAGTCCAAAAGCAGATAATTAAGGAACACTATTCAGACAATTAATCTACTGAGACCAGTGGTCTGTGCATCTATCTTTTCTATAGAGTTGCCCCTTCCCAGATTCTGGAAAAAGTACTAATTATCTATCTCCACTATAGTGATCCTGTCGTGCAACATTCAAAAACCAAATTTCTTTTCTAAGGTTCAACTTTCTTGATAAATATTATTCCTAGAAAGAATTCGGAATTTTATTTCTGTAGGTCTGTTTCTCCCATCACTCCCATGTTTTCCATCAACAAGTGGGTTTGCATATAACACAGTGATCATGGCTGCTGATGACTGCCAATACATTTATGCTGCTTTATTGTTGAAACAGCTTTCTTGAATAATTTCACTAGCTCCTCAAGACAAATAGACAGATTCTCTGGATGTGTTATAAGTGTAATGCAAATCTATGCCCTCTGACTTTGGGGAGACCATGCACAAACTAACATAAGAGACTAGGACTTTGTATGGTTGACCCTTAACCAACATGGGTTTCCTTATGTGCAGACTTTTTTCTAACTTTTTGGTTCCACATCACAGATTCGACCAATTGCGAATGTCACTGGGTTGAATCTACAGATGCAAAACCCATAGACATTAGGGCCACCTCTATGTTTTATGTGGATTTTCTACCATGTAAGAATCAGTGCCCCTAACAACCCCTCCCACCCCCTTTATTTAAGGGTCAACTGTATTTCATGCTGATGAATTCAGGCTAGCTGCAATAGGTTTCTCTGACACTGAAAGAAACCAACAAGTCGAGTACAATGAGGAAGAGAATACCAGACACACAGCTTCACTCAATCCTACAGGTTTACATGGTTATCATCCAGTTGCATTTTAGAGAAAGTACTTTTTCCAGAAAAATTTTTACCTCTAGTAAAAGGCCTTACGTAATATTGCAAATCATTTTTTTACTATAATAGAACAATCATACGTTTACCTTTTTCTCCTCCCCATTTTGGACTTGTGTTTCACAATGCATCTGTTTAGGCACCTCTACTGCAACTATAAAGCACCAGACTCTAGACAATGGAAGAACAGAGCAACCCTGACCTTGCTTCCTCAAATGTAGATTGCAACTGCTAGTACAGTAGTCCTAAAAGCTCACATAGGAGTTTCACCCCAGCTTCTCCCTGTTGTGGAAAGAGACCGAGAAAAGGCAGGGAGAAGTCAAAGTAGTCAATTAAGAGGGCTGTGGTTTTCTTGCTGGCAACACGGTAACTATAAATTTATTTCCCAGTCTACAATTCCTACCTATATTGGATTTGTGGAGAAATGACAACAGATGTAGTCCAAGGCTTTTCCTGCTATTCTCTGCTCAAGGTCTTATGAACCACAGCATACATTAACAAACCTCAGCATACCTCATATTCCAATCAACCAATTGATTTATAGCCTGTGACTTTTTTTTTCCTAACAGAGAAAAACCTGTGCCGGAAATGCAGTGAAAACTGCAAGACATGTACTGAATTCCATAACTGTACAGAATGCAGGGATGGGTTAAGGTAAGAGGAAAGGATTTCAGGTAATGCAGCACACAGAGCTTTCAATATAAATGGAGGGGGAAACACATATAAACAAACGAACCTCTTCCCATCTATCCTTGCTTTGACTCACTCCCAAACATTTGACAGCTATTTGCATTATCTGTACCATTATATGTGAAAAATTGGATCCCTTTCTGGTTAAGGAAGGTTTATAAACCAAGTAATTCTCTGTAAAGATGATGGCTCAGATCCAAGTAAACAAAAATGGCCATTTGAGAGACTTTCCTCTACTTTTTTGGAGAGCAATGTGCCTGTCAAGGATTCCTGTGTGGTTAATGCCCAACAATTTCTATTTAACCTTGCTGAGTCATTCTGTTGATGGTCACCAACTACTCCCTCTCTTTCTCTTCATATAGCTAATCATTCTCTTAAGTACCCAAGGCTTGCCTCCATTATGTTACGGCATGCACACAGACTTGACAGCAGATTCTTCCTGAACGGATGCCTTGTTCAGTGCTAGAGCCAAATCGAGGACAGAATGTAAGAGAACAAAATGCAGCTCAGATTAACTAGGTGGCCACTTGATATTCTTACAGAAGGGCAGACCACCCTGTGTTGTGAGGACTCACACTCCCCGTTTAGGTAATGATGGAATTGTGCTGCACTTGATCCTTTGACCAGAAGGGAAAGTAGGTCCAGGGAGATAATTTTTCACGATCTAAACAATGGTGTCCTAATTATCAGTACCTGGCACACAACTGCCAGATGATAGTGCTAGGTAATATTGCTAATATTATTCTATCATCTGGCAGTTAAATGCCTATAGTCATTTGAAAAGATGCAGGTGAAATTTATTATATAAACATTTAGCTTACTTATATCCAAAATAACACTTCAACTTGAAGACTATATTTAAAAAGTTAACAGATGTTTTACATTCTTTTCCATTGTTGTAACAAGTCTTTAGAATTTGGTGTATATTTTACCCACAGAGCACCTCTCAGTTTGGATAATTTTTTAAGAAATGCTGGATCAGCATTTAAATTTAATAAGTCAATAACCTGAACCATGTGCCAGTTTAAACACAAGTAAAATTTCAAATGCCATTGCTTAGGCTCACCAGCCACCATGAAGGGCTCGGGCGCTGGACCACACGGGACAGTACAACTCATGTAACTAGTTGATCACAGAAGTGGCCAGGCGGTCACACAGCACACTCACTTGTCAGGCCACTGCCTTTTGGAGGCAGCAGAAAGTTCAGGGTTCCAACAACTGCACTCTGTGGTGTGCCCCACTTAGTTCATTCCTTCCTCACACAGTGCGGCCTTTGTCTCCTGCTGACTTGATGCCAACCTAAGAGGTCATTATAAAATGTAGGCAGCATTGTTAAAGCTTTGATAATTTTGGTGATACTACTTCCTCTCACAGAGGAAGCCTATAGAGCAGGACTTTTAAAAAGGGCAAGTCCTTTCTGGCCATTAAGAAGATCTTCAAATGGTACATCCTGCCAGTTATGCTGCCCAGAGAGACCCTCAGGCTCTCTGTATTTTTGTTTTAGGGGCTTCTAGGGTAGACCATTTTGCCTTAAATCAGTAGCCTTTTAAATAGTGGCTAAGAACAACCATGGGGAAATTATCTATGCATAAAACATTGGAATCAAAATGTTTGATTATTTGGGATTCTTTTTTGTTTACTGAGCATAGGTAAAACTAAATTTTACTATAAACCATATACAAAGCACAGTCAAATAAGATGTGTATTGAAGAGAAAGAGTTGAAGATGTCATTGTATATATGTATGTGTAGATATATATATACACACACACACGTTGGTTGTAAAAATGAACACCTAAAACTTCATAGTTGAACTATTTGACCCTGTTATAATGTCAATCTGGTGACATCTATAGGAATACATGTCCTTCTTATGAACTTTTTACTTACTCACCAAGTAATATTTAACAAAGAAATATTTCTTGAGTGTTGTGATTTCTACAGCTCTTTGATTTGGAGAATCAATCCACAGACCATCAACGTTATCATGGGTGACAGAATTAGGAAAGAAAAAACTTACCTCCTTCATTCATATCAGCAGATACTAGCTAGGAGAGGGAATTATGGCCTAGTGTTTCCACATTTTATCTACAAGAGAAATTGCAATGTTGGGGTAACAGCAGTACAGTTAGGCAATTGTGCTAAACGATCCATTGCAATTTAAAATAATTCAAGAGAGCTAAAGGTATATTGTGATTTTGTTGTGGGAACCAGAAACTGTTACAAAGAAAGGGGCCCTCCTGGGTGTGTGAGCCAGGAGGTTGGCAAGGCTAGCTTTACCCATTAATTCACTTTCCGTTGTTTTCCAATTGCATTTATAATGACAGAACAGCTTTTTAATTCTTTACACAGTAGGACTGGATCTCCAGGCACTGTGAGGCATTTTGTCAGGTAGTATGATTGTCTTGTCACTAAATATGTCTTCAAGCCTCCAGGTTGTATAACACTGAGCAAAAAGGAAAGTGTCAGCCAGTCAAGAGGAATGCTTCCAAAATTTGCAGCATGTGCTTATGCTGCGGACATCATTACAGGCACAGGGAAGCAATATGGGCATTGGGAGAGGAAAGAGTACAAGGGCTGTTTGCTCTGCTTTGAAGCTTTGCCAAATCCCCTGGCTCTGGGGGCAAGTGTATTCGTACGTCTGGACTTGGGGAATCATTACCTCTCTCTGGATCACAGCAGCTGCTCTCTGTCTCCAGCCTGCAGGGATCGCGGTGCTACATCACCTGTGAGGACGGATGGTTCTTCAACGGGCAGGACTGCCAGCCCTGCCACCGCTTCTGCGCCACTTGTGCTGGTACCTCTTCCCTCGACCTTCTGCCCAGCTCTGGTTTGGCTTGCATTTACCTGTTTTAAACCATGATTCCTGCAGCTTCCCTTGGTATCTTCGAAATAAATGCTAGAGAAGCATGCTTCTCTTTAGATAATCTACTGGTATTCTCATAAGTCAGCTACTGGGATCCTGTCCTCACAAGAAACCTCAGTGACATCTAGTGTGTCAGTCACCCCAGTAACATCTCTAACTCCTTCCAAAGAGTTTTTTTAACAAGGGGGTTCAATTTAAAATGGGGGCACTTTTGCAAAGAATATAAGAAAAAGCACAAGTATTATGACCCAACATTCTAGCTTGATAATTCCATTTTCACAAACTATGCCGAGGAGCAAGGGCATTGTACAGTTTCTTCTAAGGCTGTCTGTCTGGCTTTTCAGGGGCAGGTGCTGATGGCTGCATTAACTGCACGGAGGGTTACTTCATGGAGGACGGGAGATGTGTGCAGACCTGTAGTATCAGCTATTACTTTGACCACTCTTCAGAGAATGGTCACAAATCCTGCAAAAAGTAAGTGGGTCTGCCCCTTGGTTATGGGATTCTTCATGAAACTGCCTTCACAAGATGAGCTTCAAGCATTCATCTTGCCTTACTAGCACTTTAGGGGGGGAGGGGGATAAAAATATTTGACTTCCAAGCATTTAAAGTCAAAGAGGTACCTGCTAGCTTTTCTTCAATGTTATCAAAGCCAGCAATTACTATATGAAAGTATTTTTGCACTATTTTCCAAAGGGAGACTTTCAATTTTAAGACATTAAGCGCTTGATTGTAACCATAAGTTTTCCTCTATGTGAGGTATGAGGGGTTACTAAGTTGTACCTTTTTTCCATAGATGTGAGGCCAGCTGCTTGACTTGTAATGGTCCTGGGTTCAGAAACTGTACCAGCTGCCCCAATGGTTATCTCTTAGACTTAGGAATGTGTCAGATGGGGGCCATCTGCAAGGACGGTGAGTACAAATCCTTGTTTCATCTTCTAACCTAGGGGTGATCTGTCTATTTTAAGATTTCAAATTGGTGCCTAAATTAGGTGGAGACACTATATTTTTACGATATTGAAAAAAACTTATGAATTATGTTTTTTCTAAGTTAAGAAAAGTGAAAAATATTGGGTCATTCCCCTGGGTTTATTCTTCCCCTTCCTTTGATGGTGCATCTTCTAGGAATTTCACAAAATACAGTAATGCTATCTATGGTGGCAGAATATCAGTCATACCTGGGTTCAGACTTTGCGCAGGTTATAAACTTCTCAACTCCCTCATCTGAAAAAAAAGTGAGGATACTGTTAGCAACCTTGTATGGTTATTCTACAACTCCTATTAGAAATCTCCAGAAAGTAAAGGAACTGAGCATGTGACGGCTCAGATAGGGCATCATAATGGCTGCGTGGCCAGGGAGCATCTCAGGGGGATTTGCATCCTCATCGCTTTTCCCATGTGGCATTGGTCGGGCGGGGTGGGGCAGAGCCAGTTCTCACTGCACAGCACTGTGGGGAGAGGACGAGGGCAGTAGCTTACCTGAGACCTTGCAGATAGTGCTTTTTAATTACCAGACTATGCTCCCTGTCCTTACTGAAAAATATGGTTCAGATATACCTGAATAGGACCAGATTATTTTGTAAGTTAATAACCTGCAAGGGAGATTGAGTGCTTTTCCCAGGAGACCCACTATGCCTACAGTTATCACTCATGTCCTTCGTGTCAGCCATTTGAAGCTCTGTTACATTAACTGCCTTCCCTAAGCCAGGGGGTAGATTATGCCAAAACGCACCTGGTAAAAGTGGAGGGTCAGAATTGGTGGCAAAAATGAAGAACCCTATTTTGCAGTGAGTCCATTTTTAGGTCACTTGATGTTCAAGAGCCTTTCAATCATAAGACAATTGCACTGAGAGATACGCTATTTATTCTCTTCCAACTGTCATATTTCAGTGATTCTAAGACATACTTAACACCTGACATCAGATGCAGTTTATAGCTGCTCTGCTCCAGCAGGTTGATGTGGTAGTTATTGTCAACTGAATCAAGTACCTGGTTACTAGTTGTGTTAAACTGAAGTCCAAAAGAACTTCAAAAATAATAATAATAATAATAACATGTTCTATATTACTTTCATAAGCAATAATAAGAATCACTTTTTTCTTGGTAGTACTTTAAATAGTGATGTCTTAGATTCTGTGAAATAATACTAATGACTGTATACTCTGTTCTGGGTAATTCTAAAAAGAAAAATACCTTGCTTGTATTATTGATTTCTAATTCTTTTTCTAATCTTTTTTCCTTTCATAAATGGATATCAATCACATTTACCGTTGGACTGCAATATCTCTCCCTGAAAAACAATGCTGTTGACTGAAATCACTTTGGGTGGACCAAATTTCCTCCTGTTGACTGCTCCTGAATGATCTCTTCCAATCCCCCAATCTGCCACTCTGGCCAATCAAACACTTCTCCCATGTGTGTACATCATGCTGCTCTCGTCCTCAACTCCCCCTCTCTCTTGCTGACTTCCTGGAAAAGCAACGGAAGAGTCCTGGGCCGAAGGAGGCTTCTGTATGCTAGTGAAAAAGAACAATCTGTGCCAACGGAAGGTTCTTCAACAACTTTGCTGCAAAACATGTACATTCCAAGGCTGAGCTGCCGTCCTAGATTTCTTTGTTCCTGTAGACTTATAGATTACTCCATATTATTATTAAAAAGAAAAAAAAAAACAAGCAAAAAAAAAAAAAGCAAGCCACCTCTCTCTTTCTTGCTCTCTTTTTTCTCTCAAATTTGTGCAGGGAGATGGTGAACTGTTTTGTCAGAACTTAAATGGAAAAAAAAAAATAAAACCTACAACAAGCCTACCTTTTATAACTGGGTGTTTAGTACTAAACAACCAGAACCACAGAGACAGTATTGTATGACCAAAGCATTTGATGCCAAAATTTGACGTTAAAGTAATGATTTGATTTCCTGCCCTGGTTTTGAAGGTCCATTTTTTTCCTTTGCCTTTACTTGCTTGTTTCCCCTTTGAGACACCTAAAAATACTTTTCAAAAACATCACAGCAGTAGACATAGATCAAAATGAAACAGAAAGCTCTTGCATCAGTCATTTTTGAGTTCACTGTTGGGGAAATGGCAGAAACTGGACCTTAGGGCATTAAGAACATCCCACAGAGTTGTGTTCAGAGTCATTTGTCTTAGTTTTTCACAGTTGAACATCGATACTTTCCACGTGTAATGTGCTGGTTTTGGCATTATACTCACTTGATAAGTCTGTTCCACTGGTTTCATCAGCTAGACTTGCTGCTACCGGCGTTTCCATTGTAGACTGGTTTTTCTTGCACACGGGTGGTCAAACGGGATTGCGCTGCATAGTCAAAATGGTGATGGACAGCGTGTAAAGTTACTCAAATAGCTGAGACCAATCCAGCTCCCTCAAAATCCAGAGTGTTCGATTTGTAGACCCTGCACAGTCTCCTGGTGCTATCTAGCCATTCTCCCCATACCATTTTTTTAAGGCCATCAGAAATTCCACTCATTGTGATGGAAAGCATTTTGGATATGATACAGGAGATTTCTTCCTGGAGTCAACGTTTCTAAAAGGTCCTGTATTTTTTAAGAAATGGCATTTATTTAAATAATATTTAAGCTTGTGCCCAAGTTGGCCAGGCAGTGTTTTTCAATGGTGCTTATTAAGAAATAAAACTGGAAACTGAATATGGGCGGCATGATTGTACCCTCCTGGTTCTTTCATTTTTCCCATTCCTCTGTCCCTCTACAACTGTACTTATGATACACCTGTCCACTGAATGTCATGTCCTTCAGATTGTCTGTTTCTTAGAAATATCTTCACTGGTTTTCTATGACTCCCTAAGTGCAGGCTGAACCTAACAGACAATTATACCAAACTGTTTTTGGGTCAGTGGACAGAAATGAAGTCTGGTAGATCATTTTACCAATTCTGAGTTTCTCTATTGAGGGGAAGATAGATTGATACTGTTTCTTCTTATTCCACATTAAAGCTCCATTGGTGACTTCATTTGCTCTGCGAGTCACCAGCCATCTTATAGGGTTTATGCCTCTGAGATGAGAGCCTCATTTGCAAGATATCACTAGCTCCACAGCTAAGCAAGAGGAATTATAGCAACAGCGATTATCCTGGGAAGCAGCTAGGAAGTAGACGCTAAGGACCCCATCCAAGCAGGAAGCTAATAAAATGCCTACCTTGAAAACACACATTCCAAGAGATTGAAGTTAACATCCAACCCAAGGTGAATTATTTTCAGTCTAATGGGCCTCTTCATAGCTTTGTAATAAGAGTGATTCCCATAAGGATTCATAAGTAACTAGGGTATCAGCTGATACTGCTGAACAGTTTTCCTCTTCATAATAGAGTAGACCCTTCAGACTTGAAAAAGCAAGTTAATCCTGGGTACAGCATAAAAGCCTACTTTTAAATGGACAAATGTAAGCACTAGCTAAAGCAAGACCAAGCAGATGGCAAAACCAGAACTGCCAGCAAAGGAATCCATTCAACTGAAACAGCCCATAATACGAGAGGCACAAAATTACTAGGAGGGGAAGGATAAAAATGAGATCTGTGTTTGTAGACAAATACCCTTCACAGTGACAGCCAAGTTCACTGGGGTCCAACAATATGTTTCTTTTCCCACGACCATGCAGACGCACTTCCTGGAAATACTGGTTTAACTACTAGGGTGTTATTGCCTCGTTTATCTACAGATTATTAACTAGAACATAATGCTTTCAAAGTTTAAGTTAATGTTATATATTATGTATAAATATATATATATTCATAATGAGATATGTAATGCATAGTACAAAGTTTGGAGTCTTAACAAATGCTCTAACCTAGAGACAAAAGTCCTATCTTCTGTTTTCTTTTGTCTTTTAATTAGCGATCCATTGTTAAATCCAAATTCACTTTTACTGAAAAATACTGTACATGTGTAAAATGTTCAGTTGTTTTTTTGTAAAATATAGTAGAATGGTTGTAATTGATACTGGCCAAAATCAATGTTATTCCATATTTTATTTTTTCTATTAAATTAACCTAAGTTCCTGTTTATTTGATCTGTTCATACCCATGTGTAAATAGTTCTCAAAGGGCAAGTTAGAGAAACTTCACATAGAGGCTGAATGTGAAGGGAAAGGTGGAGATAAAGTTGGAAAATAGAGGTTGAAATTCAAAGGAGGGGGAAATAACAGCAATATAAGGAAGGGGCAGATTGGGATTTGACATTGGTGAACAAATCTATCTTTAGAAACCAAGCTGTGAAAAAATTTCTAACAGATTGTGAGGTGGCCATGTGGGAAGCTCTCGTCCTGGCTTCTGCAAGGCCATGGAGACTACAGTCACCAGAGGGTGTATGGCAAGTGGGTTCCACTTGCCTGGGAACCAGGACGTGGGGAGTGAGTGCTGCAGAGGGGGAAGTGGGCCTGCTCAGTTTGTGGCTAATTCTATGTGAAACTGAAGATGAATTCCTAGTAGATGACCTTGTCAAAAATAAATCCCCAGTACATGCCACAAGGTGGAACCTAATAATTACCAAAAACAACTCTCAGTTGTTGATGTTTGTGAACACTGCTTGAAATGCACTAGTCTCGAAGGTGCACCCCGCCCCTTAGAGAAAAGAAATGGCAAATCAGAAAAAGCAGAAAATAAACCGAGCTCCAATTTGGTCTAAAGACCTAGGGACATACAAAGGAATAAAACCTCTGCTGTCGTGAAGTCCCATCAGGGACATGGGCAGAAACTAATTTTATTGACGACTTACTATTGCTTTACAATATAGAAATAAGGCAATGGTGTAAATATTGTCTTCAGTTCAAGAAGAGCTGAAGCATTTGGATATCAGATAAATTATAACCAGAATCAGAACAAAAATGTAACAGTGAGACAAGAAACATGATGCATGAATTCCAAATGTCAAATGAATAGGGCACTCAACTCATGCTCAGACAAGTAAGTCTTCTTTGAACTGGACTGATCAGGGTACCCTTCCCAGGAAGAGGTTCTAGAAGTGGTTCCTGGAGAATGGCTATGACTAATTAAGCAGATGGGTGAAAGCAGGAAGAACCTTGCAGTTACAGGGCAGGAGGAAGGGTACCTTAGTAACCCTCAAACCTTCCTCCTGTAACCTGTTATTTTACCAGCCAACTTGCTGCATAAGAGATTTTCAGGGGAGCAAATGAAATCATGAAAGCAATCAGTCCACAGCTACAAAAGACCACGATTTAACATTGATGGATTAGTCAAGAAGAATCTACATTTTTACACTTTACAGAAAATGGATACTGTGCTTATCCTTAACTCCCACATCATGGAAGACCTTGCTAATCCACATATAGGATGACCAGAATTTTCTCACATTTCCACCACAATATTCTAAAGTGCTTGTGATAATGCTGCTCACCTCTATTAGGTTCATTCACTGTTTTCCACTTAACAATCTGCCCTTCATTTTGAGGAAGTTGTAAACTATCTGATGAAGAAGGTAATTGTTTTAGTAATGGCAAAATTAAAATTTCTCAATCGACACTATAAACGCATTCAAGCATAGAAATGTTAACACCTTCTCCCCCTTGTAAATATGCATGCTTTCTTAACTTTTTCCTATGACCACTCAGCTTCACACATAGGACAATGAAAGACAGTAGCATGGTAAATACGGAGAAAACTGGAGGCACTTTTAAGCCATAGTCTGGCCTACTCAACATTTCCTCCTCCTGTTCCCTAATACACAAATGACAAAGGGAGAACAAAGGTTAGCTGCAGCTCGGTCTCACCTGCCCCAGCTGGGCCTATGCCCAAAACTCAGTATGTGTCAGTGACAAAAAGTATGAGCCTGCTTCTCTTTGGTCAACCACCCATTTCTCCAAATGTTATTTTTGTTGCAAACTCAAAAATCTTAAGTTCTCCTCAAACTACTTTGCAACCACAGTCAAGACACACTTATTTCTGTGATGCATTAGAACTACTTGACACCAAGAAATGGGGCTGTAGTCTACATAATCTTGTCTCCTCTTCATCGCAAAAGATCTGGCCAAGAGCAAATTTTGTGACATCCTCAGAAGCCTGGGACATTCACATACCTGCAGTTCCTTCCCACTCTGCATGCAAGCATTTAGAGAAGTGTCCATGTCATTGCTGAATGATTTCTCTCATAAGGTCTCTGCTCTAAAGGGCTATTGTGTGGAGCCTGTGTTGCTTTTTCGGGGCCAGGTGTCAGGCAACAAAAGATATTTTGTATCCCTACTTCCTAGAAATTTCCAGAAACATTCATTAAGACCTAAGTTGTAAGGTCTTTAACTAAAAGTGTACATTATTTTAAGAATGCAATGCTTAAGGATGACAGAATTTTACTAAAATGACTGACTTTGGCCCACACAAAAATCAGAGGCCAATAGCGTTTAAACTTCTGATGCAAGATTTGCAGCTAATAGGGGTGTGCCTCAGACTCTGACCTGCAGTCAACACAACACAACACTGCCTCCTTTAAGAATAAAAAAAAAAAAAAAAAACAAAGGTTGCAGGACAGGGGGGAAGAGGCTTTCCCCAAGTGCAGAAAGAAAACACACTGTATTCTTGGACTTGAGTCCCCCCCCCCAAACTACTTCCATAACTAAACACTAAGCCCACTGAGCCCCTGCCATGCACTAATCTCCCAGGTTGTCTTGTCTTCTTCAAACTCAATCATCAGGGAAA